TCTCAGGAGGAATTAACCTGAAATTAATATGATTCTGTTTAACAGTTTATTCTATTACCCTTTCATAAGAGATTGGCATATTTAATTAATTCAAAGAATGAATTGCTAAGCAATGTAAAAGATGTGTAACAAGAATTTCTTCTTTTTTTTTTTTTTTGGACGGAGTTGAGATTTTAGGGAAAATTCTTCTTGCAGAGCCCTTTCAAATAATAATAATAACAAGGCAGATTTCCTGTATCTCAGCACTAGGCAAGCCCTGACCAGGGGACCATTCTATTGTTTAACTAACATATACTGCTTCCTTTATATTTATTTATCTTTTAATCATTTATATCTCATTGCTGTTAGAAAATCTGACAACTAACTTTATTTTATTTAAAAGTAAAAAATAATGAAAGAAGAGAGGGAAACAATTTCACCAGGATTACCAGGACTGAGCATAGAATTTTCTGTTTACTATCTTCTAGAATATTTGGAAATTAGTTAATAGCACACATTTAGGTTTATTTAAGAGAGTCATGTAAACAGTATCCAAATTATAATGTATTTCACATATGAAAATAACACGAAATAATTATTTTTTACCCATTTTAACTATAGTGTAGGTAATGGCCCCTTAGTCGTAAGTTCTGTGGCTGCTATAAATGACCCATATTCAGACATGCTCTAGAAATGAGCTTTTGAATAAAGGTTGGTAAAGTACCTCTTGCTTAGACCACTGGAATAAAATATATTACACTGTTGTCCAGACATGTCTACTTAAATGAAAAATATTTGTTTGTAAAGCAGCAAACAAAAAGCCCCTCTTATGGTGAGCCATTTTCCATTTTGGTTTGTAGAAAAGGGGGCCATGCTGAAATAACTTGGGGCATGGTGAAAGCTGGTCAGTCTTGGCAATACAGAAGGGAGGGTGCCTGGCCCATCATTGCCTTTCATGTGTTGTTTTTCAGGAGATGGCTGCAATCAGTCATCTCACTTATGGTTTGGAAAAGGCTTGTCTCGATGGCAAGCAAACTGTTATTTAAGTACACAATCCACTCTACTACTGAAACAGTTTTGCCAAACTTATCCAAGTATTCTCACATGCTTAAAGATGGTATAAATATCATTTATTGCTAGCAGTTTTCTTCAGACTATATGGAATGTCTTCCTGCTGCCTGATCTAAGTGTCCCAGTTTACATTATGGCCTTTACTGCCTCTGTTTGATGGAGTGATCAGTAAAAATTTAATGACACTATAAAATAATAAAAATGTCATTAATTTACCACGGATCTTGGATGCAGTGGTTGTAAAGTTATATTAATAAACAGAATATTTTTTACAACAAAAAGCATTGTTACGTGGGAACGTATAAATAACACACATAAATTTAAGAGCAATTTTACTGTTAGCACACACATTATTATGGAATAGCCAATAAGTGTATAAAACATAGTATATAAAATTTTATTAAAATATACTGTGCACATCAAAAATTCAGCTTTTATCTAAGTGCAAAGAAAAGCCATTATTGTGTGCTTACTGTTTCATTGCTGTTCTTTCCCCAGATCACAATTTTACATTTGTTGCCAGTAAGAGGAAGTTGATTTTTTTTTTCCTAGATGAAAACAAACCTCTGTTCTTTTAGTTACCCCAAATCCATTCTCTGTCCTCACTGATGCAAAGGCAAAATTGATTAATCTTGCCATGGTAGGGAGGGGAAAGTTGCTAATTTAATGCAAAGTTAAAAATAATGCCTGAGGAGTTGAATGGTTTGTTCAGTGACTCTGGAAATAAAGGATAATAATGCAGCAGTCTATCTGTCATCAGTGAGGCTGCCCCGTCATTGACTCTGATAATATGTGAAGATGATGGATGTTACTGTCTTGTGGCTTGTAACATTTAACATTCATCAGCTCTCACTAGAGGGGGCTTTATCATTTAAATATCTTTATTTAATATGCAACATCTACCTCATACATCATAATTTCAAAGCACTTAGAGAGCCAAAAGTCCTACAACACAGTGGAGCTGACTTTAATTTTTTTCAATAACTTTTATGTTGCCTGCATGTTTGTGACTGACAATGCATAAGTAAGTGTCTGATCACATTGCTGCATGTAAAATGCACGTTTCACTGTCAACATGAAGACTATGGAATTTTCCAAAGGGGTTGGGATTATATTAGCATTGAGGTATTTTGTTTATATTTCCAAAATATCTTACTTAGGAGCTACGTACATTGTGAGAGCTGGCTCAAGTGTGTGGGGAAATTTGGACTTAAGAACTTGCCACCTACAGTCTGTATTTCTTCTATATAGGAGCATAACCATTGGCACTTAATGGCCAGAAGTTTAATCTTCTCGGGACTAAAATATCTTTGTACTTCTCTCTGTGCCTATGTTCACATCCTGTATTTACTAGGCTTGTGTTCAATCTCACTGGTAAAATCTTTGCTTAGCTCAGCTGCCTGGATCAACCTTGTAGACATCAGGCCCTCTTATCTTATGGTTATGTGGCTGGCAAATAAATATTCTGAGCTATTCTTTGAAGAAAAGAAGGAAATCTTCTGGGAGGCTAGGTGGAAATTTATATGAAAGGGCATGGCTTTGCAGTGTCCTTCTTTAATCTCAAACACAAGTGCTTAATGTTACCAAATTTAAAATGCAACACACTGCCCAAAACAATTTTTATCATTGATTTATTTTCTGCCTATTTAACAAGTGTTTCATGGGATATTCTTCCTTGACTTGTACTCTGTCAAAATATTGATATTTTATAGGGAAAGTATCACTGCAGAAGAATTTTTTTTTCAATGAAGTCAGAAAAATGTATGACTTCAAAGACACTGTGAATGTGTTGTTGAGTATTCTGAATGTTTTTTGTTATGATTAAAAACAAGATGATACTACTGAATTGTGAGTGCACTTCATTTTTTATAAAAGAAAAGATATTATCATCATGTAAGCTTTGTTGTCTTAGGATTTTACAAACCATGGCATGTAATTTTCCCTCTTTTCCTTCCTTGTCAAAATATTGATATTCTTTCAGGAACTTTATTTTTTTTTACTGAGAATACTTTCCGGTAAAATCAAAGAGAATGAATGACTAGAAAGATACTTGAAATATGCATATTGATAGGTATCACGGTCTGTTGATTTTCAGAGAAAGTTGTTTTTCCCCCCATGAAAATACAGTTAAAGGTTGTTCTTCCAAGAAGATTGCAGGTGTCACATCAAAACTCCTTTTGCATTTAACATAGCAAAAGCATTCACATGCAAATATTTGAAATGCGAAACAATGTGTAAAACAAAGGTTGAATATTCTGCTTTCCCTGGTACTACTCATCTTCACTTTAATTCTTTTTCTTTACATCATGACAACCAAAAGTGCTACTCAAAAATAGAAATTGGCTGATTAAAAGCAGCTGTCCTTCCCCCTACAATGTGCGAAACTCCCACATGGCTTGTGGTTGCTTTTTGTTTTGTCCTGCATCTGGGTTAATTTGTTCTTGTGCAGCAGTATTTTCACATAAGAAGATATTAGGGAACTATACTTAATTTGATTTTTATTTTCATTCTGTTTTTTATAAGTGTCATATTTCAGAGGTTTTTCTACATACTGCTATTGAAACTAGTTAGCATTACCCAGTTGGAGAAATTCATGATTATAATTTTTGTTTCAAATCTTTCTTCATAAAAATGGTGCTAGATTAAAGCAAGGTTTACGCTGTGTTTTCTTCCAACACAGATTTCAACATATTCCATGGTGAAGGGGAGCTAGAAGACTTCCTGCACGATTTGATTGATGGGAATTAATTATAGAAATATAATGATATTCAAAAATAATCATATTAGAAAGCACAAATGAAGTGAAATTGTACAAATGAGGCACAGCCTCTATCAAGTAATTGTATGTTTGCTCTTTAAGAATATTTCCAAGTTTCTAAACATCTTACAGAAGAGAACACTCAGTGTCTCCATCTAATGCTGAACATGCTCAGTACAGAACTAGGTCATTGAACAATAGACTGAACAGCAATCAGCACTCTACTGCTGCATAATGCATTAAGTATAACATGCAGAAATCATTCCTGGAGCTGGAAGCTGCTATTTCATGTCTGTAAATTCAAGCTGACATGACATTTAATATTGTTTCATAGTAATGAACAACAAGGTTTCATTCATTCATAAGCACAACACAAAGCCAAGTTTGAGTCTGGAGAGTAGCAAGGAGGTGAGGGGGGACATGCACTGTATTTCTGCAGACAAGAACACCGTATTAATGATGGTCAATGAGCCCTCTGCTACTGATCTAGAAAGCTGCAGAGAGAGCATTCACTGTAATGCTTCAGATTCCTGCTCCTAGAAGAACTGGGAAACAGCAAAATATCTTTGAGTTTCCCTCCTAACGTGGCAGGTGTATTTAACTTGACTGTCTTGATTGCTGGCTAGGAGTGATGTCCTCCTTTTGAGTTCCCAGAAAGTCACAATCGAAATTCCTAGCCAAAATAATGGTATCAATGTCATCATCTAGTCTTTCTGCTTTGAAATATTTGTTTTTGAAATCCTCCTGCATAAAATTCTGATTTGTATTTCTCCAGGAATACCAATACAAACTATAATCTCTAAATGGGAAAATTTCTCTCCCATTAAATTTAGCAGTATGTTTTAATAAGAACTGCTCTTTCAAGTTTTTGCTCTTTTGGCTCAACCCTCTCTATTGCATTCCTTTTAGAATACTGGAACAAATCCAACAAAGAGAAGATGTGCAGAGAAGCTCTGTCAGGTTCCCTGTCACAGTTTCCTTTCCTTACAGGTACTATGGTCCAGATGCTGTTAGCACTGGCAGTGTGACCACCAGGCTTTAACAGAATCTTCCTGAAAGATTTTTAGAGCCCAAGTTGGCCAGAATTGATGTTCATAAATCCAAGTTTTGCCCATTAAGCAAGATAGAAACTGGAAGGAAAAAGTGGCTGCTTTGGAAACTAGAATAAGCCTCTGATTATTCTTTCCTCTAGGAAAGAACACGCTTTGAGAATTTGGGGCCTCAGTTAACAGGAAAGTCAAGTGAAGATGGAAAGCTGGGTCCGGGTGTCATCGACCTTACTCGGCCAGAAGATGCAGAGGGTGAGTGGCTTTTCCATAGCTCTTTTCTGCTGCTCCACGTGTTTCTAAAGTCTGTCTGAATTAGATGTAGGATCTTTACGGTCTTTCTTGGGAATCACCAGCTAGATTTTCTCGGCAAAGCACAGAAAATGTTAGTCTTTATTATATATTGTAGTTGAGGACTTTGAGAAGCAGCTAGATTCTATAAACTGAACAAATAGCAACTACTACTTCATACCAACTACTTCAAGGTACCATTTTAAACTTTTCAATAAAAGGAACCTCTACATTCTGATGAACAAGAGAATTCTGTTTCATCTACTTCACTGCATTCTTGTTTTCAAAAACAAAAATACAAAGAAGGACTTTTAAAAAAAATTCCAAATCAGATGATTCCCAGGTATAATCTAACCATTTTGAGAATGAAATGATGGTTTGCATAAATATAACAATGACTTGGGGAAGGCCCAGCCTGTGTCTGGGCACTAACCATTACTGAAGTCTTTTGAAAGTTTGGGTGGAAAGACCAGCCGTACTGTCAGAATGTTTGCCCATGGCACTGTCAATATCTATCTACTTCTCCTCCCTTTTTGTTTGTTTGTTTTAAATGCACAAGCAGCACATCAGCAGAAATTGTTCCCCAGAGGCTGGGTACAATTTATGAGTTAGGTCAGCACTTCTGTAGTAATGTTGCCTGGTTATTTACTGTGTCATCACAGAGTAGGGACTCGTTTTCCCGTTAGCTGTTCATTTGGCAGAATCTGTCCCACCAGTCAGGGAAGATTAATTCCTTCTCTTCAGAGTAACATGATACTTCACCCATCTCAGGTCCCAGCTAAAGTCTTTCTTTAGCTTGAGGGGAAGAATCTTACTAGTATCCCTTTTTCCTGGCAGGATTTCTTCCAGGACCCTAATCCCTTGAAAACACATGACATTTCATCGCAGCATCTGAATTGGGCATGGCTTCTAGTGATAGCTTGGGGCCATCCCAGGCAGTTCAGAAATCCTTAGCATGAGCACTCAGAGATGGGTAGTGTCAGACATTAGTTATCACTTTTGAGAGTTTCCAGAAGATAGATTTTTCATATCAGTAAGAGATTCTAATGTTTGATGATAGTCCTGGGAAAAAGGTATTAAAATAAATTCTGATTGGTATGTGCATTTGTGTATGTTTGTGTGTGTGTCAGAGAGAGAGAGAGAGAGAGAGAGATGGGAGGGATAAAGAGGACTCAAAACCAGAAATATACTTGCTGTCTTCCTTGAAGAATGTGTACTAAGAGCACATGGACACTTTCACAGGCACTTAGAAGTGTAGGTTTTCCATTGGTTAGGGTTGAGTTTCCTCTGTGTAGGGAGCCAGCGAGTACAAATGATGGCACTTGCACAGTTAACCATCTGACTGTAACACAGAGATTGTGGCTGGCCTGAAAGTCTGTTTGGAAGTGCGTCGAGTCTGGCCCATCTCATTTTTTTTTAAAGATTGTATTATAGAGTACCTAAATCTTTGGCCGTACATAGTAAGATAATTTTTTTTTTATCACTCTGGAGTATTCAGTTTGTTCATTTGTCCATAGAGTAGAAGTTACAGAGCTGTATTAGCTCACCCTTGCTCTAACAGTCTTTTCTTAATTTGTCATTTACTCTTTTTCAGTTGGTTTCTTAACTGTATATTGGGCATAAATATAGCCAGTTGCCTCTCAGTAATGCTGATAATCTAGTTGATGATATCATGTGCTTGATAAGTTAAAAATCATGGTCAGAGTTATTAATCACTATAAAAGGAAAAAATTTAAAACAACTATACAGAAACATATTATACATAAATATCTTTGGAAATTCCATTCAATACCCAGATTGTGTAGATTCAAACCAATTTTCCTGGTTACTTTTTTTTTTAAGCAGTCATTTATCAAGCACTTATATGCCAGAGAATGTGTTAAGCTTTTTATACACATTTTCTCAATCCTTACGTATTCTGTAAAGAAGGTATTATTATTTCTTCCATTTAACAGGTGAGAAAATTGAGGCCAAGAGTAATTAAGTAACTTGCTATAAGCCACATAGCTAGTGAAGATGGAACTGAGGTTTGACCTCAGGCAGCCTGCCGTACTGCACTCCCTATAGGTGCAGATGAGTATGTGGTGCCTTTGTTTTTCTGAGCCAACTCCTTGTGACCTTCCTCAGTATGGTCCATTTCCTCTCCCCTAAATATAGCAAGTCATGCCATATACCAGCTCTCATGTTACTCTGTCACACATAGCAGCAATGCCTGATGAGTGTAACAGGAGAGGGGCTGTAGTGGCCCAGAAGCTTAAGGAGCGTGTGAAAACCTCCCTTCAGAAGCTTGCCCAGAGTTGCCATTGAGACCTCATGTGCTTTTGGGGGACTGTGAGTTCATGAATGGAGTCAAGTTACCTGCTCTAATACTGACAGAAGTGCAATGCCTTTGTGAGGACTGCTGGCATGGATGGGTAGCAGCCTTCTGCTGACTTCAGGATATTTCCTGGCATCTGTTCAAGTGTGAGCTGATTGCAAAGGCTGCTGGAGTTACAGTTCATATTAAAGTTGCAGGAGATAACAGGCACACATAATACTCTCTCTACTTTGCTCCTTCTTATTTCCCTTAACAGGAAAATTAACCACGGACTAAAGTATCAGAATAACTAAACTATTTATTTGCTCCTTCATTCAGTGCATGGTCCAAAAAACACAAACAACTAACATTTCTTGAGTGCCTGCAGTGTGCAAGTCCCTGAACTAGACCCTGGATAAACCATGGGAAGCAAAACAGAGATGCAGAGACTTCCCTGACCTCTTGGAAATTATGGTCTAGTGAAGGAGGACAGAAGATTAAAAGTGAAATATGTACATATATACATATCAGTGAGAAAGTGCTGAGGAGATCAGGACTTCTTTGTGCTCTACAGATAATTCAGAAAGAGAGCTACTCAGGGAAACTGAGTTGACAGGTGAGTTCTGTGCCTCTAGCCCAGGATGTCCTCTTCTTCAGTCCAGACACGATCATCTCCAGCTTCCCTCTGGCTTTGGAACAGCAATTTTAAGGGGCTATGCCCTCCCTCCACTTCCACCCCATCCTCCTGTGGGGCTTAGGAAGTGACTAAAGTAAGTCAGCGCAGAAGATGAGGCCCTGTTCCAGCCAGGCTTCTCAGGAAAATGTCTGCCAGCCATGAAAATGACAGTATCACTTAGTAAGCAACTTGTAGACCTGCTTTATAGCCCTGGGCATGGGGGCAGTGAGGAAAGGTCACCAAAAGAGGCAGCTGTGCATGTGTATTAACCACTCATCAAAATCATAAGCAAGGAAAACAGAAATTAAAAATATAAAAGGCAAATGCCTTCAAAATTTTATTTTTAAAGTCCAGCTGTTATTTGGCTTGAATGTGACAAGACAGCATTTCTTGTTCACCATGATATTTATAAAACTACAAATTCATTGGTGCTGGAGACTTAGGAAACATGTTTAAGGTCTTGTTATACTTTGAAGCAGTTGAAGACTTAACATGTATTGAATACACAAAATTTTTTAGCTCCTATGTAGGACATGTATGGAAAAGAGGACTCAGTTGAGTCTTGTCACCATGCCACCATCATTAAGAATGATGAACAGCTGTTGAACTTCTTATGGCCTTTTCACATGGTATTTCCCCTTTCCTTGTTCTGCCTAAGCAAGAATGCAATTCTTATCCCAACTCTCCTAATTTCAAGGTTGCATAGTACAGTAGAAAGGGCTCTGGCCTGATTATTGGGAGATTTGAATTAAAGTTCCTTTGCTAAATGACTGAAAACAAGTGACTGATGTCTCTGGGCTTGTTTCTTTACCTTTTAAAAGAGCCATGTTGGATTTGATTATCTCTAAGGTTCCTTCCAAATTCATGATTGGTGTTAGGATCTTCATAAAACACCGAGTGTATTTCTTATAAGAAAGATGATCTATATCCGCAACAGGTTCCATTTAGTTTATCTGGCAAAATAAAAGAGAAGCACAATAGCTTAGAGAATATATTTGTGCTACTTGCTGAATTGAGTTCTTGTGTACCTTGAGCTTTTTAAAAATTCTTATTATTATTGAGAGGATATCTTCAGTAGTATTTCTCAGTTGCCTGTCACAGTCAGGCCTCCTCCTCTTTTCCTCTGCTCTCCTTTTCTTGCTCTAGCAGCAATAGCAGTGACTTGGCTTTTTAAAATATATTCTTTTCATTCTGTTTCTTTTCTCTCTTACACCTCGGGTTTCTGAAGGGATACTTTTCTTTTTTTCTGTTTTGCAGTATGGTGTGGGTAAGAAAACATTCTTCTAATGCCTTTTTACATTTTAACATTCAATTATCGTGTCCCAGCCTCAGCGGGAGGCTGCACCTCATTTTGATGTGGGGAATGGTAGAATACAAGCCTACCACTTAGGGATTAGCTCTGAAGGGAATTATCTTTGGCCAGACTTTTGGACCTTGGATTAGAACTGGAATGATGTGCTGTTCTCCATGTATTAAAACCTTGTATTGATTTGAATGGAAATGCATATGTGCACCTAGAATACCCACTTTTAGGACTCTTGCTCTCAGATTTGTTTAGAAGCCTTTTATAGATTTATACTGAATTTGTAAATTGGATCCCAGCTAAGATGACCTTACCTTTCTGAAAGCATTTTTTTTTTTTTTGGTGAACCTCCGATTACTTCTAAGTTTTGTATCTTAGGATAGTTATTTTTGTCAGCTTAAGCTTTCTGTTTATGGACAAATAGCAGAGATTGCAGTGTTTTCTCTTTTTCCATCAAAATGCAGCAGTTGATATGAGTGTCCTCTTAAGAATCCTGCTCATCCTTTGATCCGAAGGTTTCTTGGAAACCTTTGAAGCTTTTCTTATTCCCCTTGCCCTCCCTCAATCCTTACTCCTGGTGGAAAAGGAAGATTGACTCTGTTGATACATGACTCATTCAAGGCAGCAGAGGCAAACTGTAGCCTAATCTGGGGTGGGGTTTAAATGCTGTAACAACTGATTATACTTTG